TTATTCTTTCGTTCTGCTTTACTTTTTGATCAAGACTTAGTTCAAGTTCTAACATATCACGTTACAACGCCATTGTACTGAAACGGCATTAGTTCTTTTTTTTTCTGTTCGTAAAGCAACTGAAAATGACATTATGGCTGTTCGCACTTTGACTCATCAAAAACTCTAGAAAAAAAAATAGTTTTTAATTTTATACCAACCAATACTTCAGCTTTGACAATGATTTGAATTATTTAAGCTGATTTTTCTTCATAACAATTTTTATAATATTTTTCCTACGAAAATATACCTTTCATAAAGGTTAGTAGAAAATTTATTCATAGCTAAGAGGTTTTACCAGTGAGTCGAAAAGAAATACTTTATAGTAGTATCTGAGCGATGCAAAAGACTTTATTTGAAGCCAGCATAAATATCCACATTACGGTACGGACTGTTATAACCAAATTGTATGAGTTCATCAAATAGAATGGTCCCATGAAATCAGTTTTCGGAATAATCAATCACGAAACTGTTTTGATGTAGCAAACAGGTCTCTAATGTACGCAGAAAATAGCGTCAATTGTTTGATATCAATTTTTACTCAGAAATATTCTTGTTGCAATAGCGTTCATTGTGTTCAACTCTTTTCTCATAGTGGCACTTGGTGATTTTTCATTGAAGTTTAGTCTGCCCACGAGCCAGGCATGCTTATTGTCTCTGGTACGATGAAAGTAATCGAGAAATTGGACAAAATTCTTGTTTTGCTTTACTCACGTATTATTCGATGAAGCAGCAAATAAAAAGTCCCACTATCATTCTTATTGTACAAACTTAGTCATATCACTAATAACATTCATCAGAATTGAAGAGTATCATTTCATCGTGCTCTTGTGGCATAAATGAAAACGAGTTTAGGACAGTTGGTCGCATAGCATAAATAAGAGGAATATGAAGTGCAAAAACAATTGGGTGTGGGTGTCAGTACAGATCTTTCATCTACCCACACCCACACCCCACACCCACGACTTCTTAGTAATATTTCAGCATGAATATTCATGGAGTCAGTGGAAGACATTCTTAGGAATGTACTATTCTGGTGTCGATAATCAGTACGTTGTGCCAACCATCGTCAAGTAATACTTTTCTCATTGTAATCTGCAAAAAGGGTTTTTTTCGATGTATTTATGACTAAATCATTTTATTCTTGCTACTTTTAGGATGATGCGAACTGAAAAAAAAATGTATCTAAAGCCTTTTTTTGATAATCAAATAACTATTCTCAGGTTCCTTAGGTCAACAAAGATCAACCACTCAAGCGCCGAGTAAATTGAAATAACGCATTCCCCAATAACTAACCAAGAAACTACTGGGATCTAATGCTTCCCATCCACTTCCATCATCGACATCGTACATACCACTATTCCATCTCGTAATAGATCGTTCATCAGGAGGTAAGAGTTGCAACGATTGAATTTCATTCTGACATTTAGAAGCTGGTACATTGAGCTGAATATCTAAACGATCGCTATTAAATTGTTGCCATTCGATGGGATCCAATGTCCAACGACGTAAAAACCAGACACCATCTTTTGACAACGAGTCACAATCAAATGATGCTCGAAAACCTTTTTTCAGTGTGGCTTCTCTAGTTACGTTGACTTGTTCACTAGCATAACAATAGATAAAATTGTAGAATGGTGTTTTTTCCAAGATTTTATATTTATGTGATAGATCTAAACCAATCTGCATATATGGCAATAAATGATCAATGAGGTCTTGTGCCCGATGTCGCTGTTCTTTTGATAGACGCGTCGATGAAGTAATCGTGTGAAAGGCATAAACTAGATTGAAGTAGGATAAATAAGCCAGTTCATCATCAGAGAAACTATTATCGCAAACTGCAATCATCTTTTGATTAATTAAGTTGATATCATATTGATAGGATTGAATAAGAAGGTTGACAGCGTTGAGAAAGCGTTCATCACCACTATAAGCATATGTTTGAAGTAAGAAAGCAAATATTTGAAGACTATTCAAACCACGAGTCTCTTGATAGTAACTATCATTATTAATCTGAAGGGGATTCCATATTCCCCATCTTGTATGATTATGATTTTCGCCGATCAAATACCAATCATGTGTGAGAATATGTGTAGTTATATTGAGAATAAGTATATACGCACGTTGACGTTCATCATCATTTTCAGCGAGTAAATCATGCACTAATGGATGGACAAATTGATGGCCAACAATTTCATCCGAAGAGGTATCGCCATAAAATTGAAGATCAGAATAAACAGGAGAAGGATACCAACGTGGTTTGGGTGGAAAATCGCTTCGATTGGCCACTGAACGACCAGGATAACCAGAAATACCTAAATAATGTATCAAGAATTAAAAAAATACAAAGCACGTAAGAACGTAATGAATTAACTCGACAGATCTTCAAATATTCTTCGGTTGCAAAATATTTATCGAAAAATCAAACGAACTAGACTCCTAATTTGTCTTTTACCTGTCACTTTATTGAGTAATTCGAGTGTTTCAAAATAAGTCCATGCTTCTTTTTTCGCTTCTACATCATGTGTTACTGCATAGCGAAAAACTTGACTACCCAGATAGATCGTAGTCCAAAGCCCATCACTATCACAGGGTTTTTTCACGCAAGTCCGAATATCACCCCATGATGACATTAGACAACCACATACAAGACCATATTTTACAAATCTACTGGGCGGATCGAAGAACTTTTGAAAATAATCTGCTTTTTGTGCCAATGTCCACATCTCGAAGCGAATGATAGCTAAACCTCGATTTGTCACGACTACTGCTGCACTACCCAAATCACTAGGTGCATCACGAGTTCGACTTAATACAGCCAATGATGAAACATTGACGATCGATTGACGAGTAGGCATGTATCGTGCACTGTTGAATACACGCCAAGCATCGATATCCGTAGCGTTCGAATCGAAACGCATCGCTCCACGAAGCGCACCTAACCATACACGACTATCAGATGATGTCGAATGGCTAACACTCAACGTTGTTATATTTGCAAATGGTAAACGACCAATATCGGATCCAGGGTTGGAAATTTGTCCAGCTAATCGAGAAAAATACCAATGGAGGCGTCCTGATGGCATCACAATCGGAGAAACTAAAGTAACACCTGTGTCTTGTCCAATCCATAGTTTGTCTTGAACATCATTGTAGACTAACGATGTTATTGGTGCATCGATAAGTCCATTTACATGTTCAAAACGCCATTCTTCACTGATATTATCATAAGTGTGAATCCAGAGTTTTATTGCCGTACCAGCAAATATTGTTCATCGACGAGAACTCCATGCTAATGAAGTAGTACACAAGTTGATTCGATTGAGAAAGGGAACAATCATAAATGTGGATAAATCCAATCCGTGTAAACCTGTATCACTGGCAATATATAACCAGCCGGTAGATCCAAGATTCGTCACGAATAGACCAGCTGTGATCTTCGTCGTATTCATCAAACTGGCAGGAAAAACAACGGTACGTACAACTCGACAGAATGTTGCATCGGATGAATCACATAAAATGATTTCTACTCGATCAGGTGAGATGAGAGCGGCCGTATAAATATTTGCCATGTTTGCGTCGTGTGACACAGCTAGATAGCTAGCATCGCTGCTAACCTGTATTTCAGACAGAACCACCAAACTACCATTTCCAGACAGGGACATCCAAGACATATGAAGGGTCACAGCATCGGTTCCCTTTATCAACAGCCAAACGCCTCCATGAGCTTGAGAATGATACTGTGGTAATGCAGCAGTCTGCCAGATAGAATGCACACCAGTGAGTACAGACCAACCAGTTGACTCATTGGCAAAAGGTGCAAACAAATATCGTTCAGCAATCACTTGTTCATATTCAACATCAGGAATTGGTGTTCCTGAGCACAATTTATGCGATAGTATGGACCAAGTCAGAAAAAAAAAAACTTTTGACCACATGTTACCACTTGATTTTTATACTATAAGTAAAAATACTCATCGAGAGTCAATAGATGATGTGAATGTGGATGGGTGTCAATAGAAGTGGTTGAAAACAAGACCCAAATGTTCACACTCTAAACCAAAATGAAACCGATTTACTTTTGTACTCTATGGAGTACAGGAAGTACAAGAGTACAATGAAACTACGAGAAGCACGAGGCAACGTCATCATGTTTTTGGATGTAGGTCTAGATATTTCTGAGCTATAAAACTCTAGCACAATTTTACTCCAGAACTCTGTACTCTGTCAATTACCACTATGATGAACAGATGTGATTATTTATTCAAGTTCCACGAGCTAATAGGAAACTATCACATACCTAGCTCTGGTTAGCCAATGTTGCCACTAATCTGCACAATTTCATTTATCACAACATGTATATGATGAAAGAAATCTAATACTTATTGACAAAATATGATCCAACAGTCTTTTCATTACCTATCTGTTGTGATGAAGAAATAATTCGAGCTGATGATAACATTGGTCTACCAGAGCTATGTTTTGATAAACTGCGATTGTTTCGACATATTGTTTTCATCGCAGAAAATAGCATCTCAATAAAGGCTTCTACGAACGTACTGATTATTCATAGCACGATCAGAAAAAAGGTTAATTCTCAAGAAATTCATCGGTACAAGCTATGATAACCGTTTGCTGGCAAAATGTTTTGCGTTGCAACAGAATAACAGAACACGAGAATGTTTCGTCTTATATACCCTCACGCATACACAAGGTGCGTTATCATCTAAACCCAAATATTTTGAAGGACATCATGCACTAAAGAGAGATAAATAGTTATATTGTTTCGTTTGGTATCAACGAGAAGAATAGATTTAAGATATATTCTTCATTGCTAGCAGCAATTGTGTTAGCCTTTGCAACCATCTCACAGGAGGCGTGTGAGTTGTGTGCAACATCCTGTCGGAGCACCATCGATATCTGATACATTCGAAAGTTTGATCAAACGAGGTGGCTACGTATATTCCACTCAAGTCTGTGAGGAGCACCTGGACAGCATTCTATCAAAGTACCTTTCAAATGACGTTTTCTATAGTGTCTACGAATTGCTGATCGCTTCGTAGCCGTTCGAGACCGCAAGAGAAATGAAAAAGAAGACATAGTTTCATACTGTGTTTGGGCATGGTGTCAGTGATGACAACTTGTTCGATAGTACATTCGAGAGGCCTATGAATGAAAACTATTCAAACAGCTTCGTTTCTCACTCGTAGTATACATGCAGCTCACGATAGTAATAATTCACTATGTATCACCAAACGTCGGTGTATCTTCTATCTGAGTATGAAAGCTACGACGATGAGCAGTGAAATAGACACAATTGCACTGAGCAACATTGATACAGTTATCTGATTATCGAATACTATTGGAATGAGCATATAGTAACCAATGACGAAGTATTTTGACGCTAAAATGATCCGTTCATGCGAAGTCATCAGCAGACCACTTTATCATGAAAGCTATATTGTCAACTGATGTCATACTCAATGTGAAATGTAATCATCACGCGAAATGTAAGATGACAATAACTACTAGAATAATCTGATGCTCTTTTTTCTCCCTGGCAAGAGACGAACTACAATACTTTGGTGTAAAATTCAGGATGAAAGTTTGATTTTTTTTCAGTTTTAGTATTTTTTGCTCTTTCGCATTCTTGGTATGCAATAAAAGATATTTATTATGCGTTGTGGCTATGATCATATAAAGGCTGTTACCAGCTGCAATTAACCCTATTTCAAAAAGTGACAGCTATTAAGAACTATAAATAATTATTCATTCTATGTATGACTCTTTCGTGTCTTATTTTGATTTTCTTATTTCATTGTTAAGTGCTTATCATAGTTTTATAGATCTATTATATACTTACACACAGCAGCTATCATTTGCCCATAGCGATCTATTCAATTGTTCTTATTCGCTTAGTTATAATAGAAATGAACATCGATCCTGACAACGGCAGTAGTAATCATGGTAGTGCTGGTTTTTCAACTGGATGCTTTCGCAAGCGAAAGAAAGTAACATCACCAATTCAAATCGGCCACTATGGCTGAATGTTTAAGATGTTCGACACATATCCACAAGACAGTGTGTTCGAACCTCGGCGCCATCAGACATACAATGGCCTTGGACAAGTTACTAACGGTTGTTTGTCTGGGGCCACCCATGCGATAGTGCGCTGACTACGTGTGGCATACAAAAGAAAGCCCTTGTCGCTAGTATATGGTTAGTCAGTATGCATGAGGAGCTTAAGTGATTAAGCGGGAGGAGCTCTGAGTTTAGTACCCTATACTGAAAGGTAACCGAAAGGCAAGGGTATTCTTCTTTCTTCTTCAATTCAAATCATATTAAATGAAAGAAGAGAACGAGCAACACTCAGACAAGTAATGTCGCGATACAGAGCTAAATTGACATAATTGATAAATTAAATAAATTGGTCACATCCGTATAGATGTATAACATAAAACTGAAAAATCTTTTATTAAATAGAAGGGTTTCGAACAATACCTTCGAATTTAGTGACTAGAGTAGTTGATAGTCACTAAAGATGTTACTTTTCATTGTATATCAGTTGCTATCTATGTCAAATAAATAAGTTTCTAAACTTGACAAAATTTATGTCACACTTTTTTGCACATACGTTTTTACTTATTCTCCTCATAAAGCCAATTTGATAATCTGTTAATATTATTATATCACTAGATAGTCCACAGTGCTCTCTAGTAAACACTCAAGTGTAGTTGTAAAATAACAAAAAGAATCATTGCAGGAGAAGGAATTAAGCAAACAACCCTTCACCCGTAATTTTACGCCAAAGCACTGTAGTTGTGATATATATATGCTGTATCGAAGTTACACCAATCGACGAAATTATAATTTCGTCAACAATTTTGACGAATTTGTAACTGCTTCATATAATTGTGTCGAAGTTTAATCCAATGTAAGAAATAATTATCAATTACTTGATGATATGATCAATGTTTTATATATATTTACAGTAAATTTTTCATTTTAAAAATATACATTTTATTTTTCCGACTACATAGAAGAAATTATTGAAAAAAAAATTTAATTTTTTTTGTTACAACTCTGTATGATTATCATTTAATCCTGACGATACTAATGCCGGTAATTACAGAAAGAGATCTGTAGAATACTATACTCTGAGTTAAACAACATTTTAGCTTTATATTAATAAGAAAAATACTCATATCAATATCAGTTAAATTCTCATCAGAGTCAGACTCATACTAATTCAAAAAAAGACTTCATCTAACTGAATTTCTTAATACCACGTCTCGGTATTACGTATGTGTCAGTCCAATATTAATTCTACCAGTTAAGCAAATCTCAAAGAAGAGTATATTAGATAAACCCCATAATAGTAATACATAAAGCAGTAGGAGGAACTTTCAATCTTAGAACGCGATCGAAGAGATTTTATAAGAGCTTCATTTTCTAGATTTATTACATTTATTTAAAGTCTGGTCTACCTTTTGCAGTATATAGCATATCTTGACTGCACTAGAATAAAATCACATTCCGAAGTAGGGATTCTGTTTCGAGAGCTATATGTTTTGCCATGATCTTGCCTTTACTAACAGTGAAGGATTTCATTGATCTTCATTTTTAGTCTTACATTTAATGGAAAATGAATAACCAAGTTCACAACAAAAAATGTAAAACATCTTCAAATAAACTATATTAAGAGAGTTATTCCAATTATTTGGTTATGTGCTGTTTAAATCAGAGTATAGTTTTTTACAGATCTCTTTCTTTAATTACAGGCATCAGTGTATCGTCAGGATAAAATGATAATTATATAAAGTTTTAACAAAAAAAATTAAATTTTTTTTTTAATAATTTCTTTTACGTAGTCGGAAAAATAAAATGGATATTTTTAAAATGAAAAATTTACTTTAAATATATAAAACATCTATCATATCATCAAGTGATTGATAATTATTTTTATTTTGTTGAATTAAAGTAACATCGATACGACATATATATACGTGCCTTTGCCGTCTACGATGACAATATTGAACTTTTTCATGAATGAATGAATTAATTTTGTCCATTCATTCATATATTTGACCATAACTTAGTTATATGAATGGCATTCATGTTGACCAAAAGAAAAAAGTATCGATCATATGAAAACAAATGTTTATTTTATATCTGTAAAATACTAAAAAGTGAGGGAACATGCACCTTATACCCTTTTAGCAATTGTGAAACGGTGAGGAAATAGAGAAAAAAAATTCCACTTTTTAGTCTACGGACACTCCTACACCACACTCCCACATCTTCCAGTCTATTTCATTTTTTCATTCAAGGTCTAAACGAAAGGCGTCTGAGAATAATGCCGTCTATATCGCCTTATACATTACAACAAGTTGTTAAAAAATTCTTTATTTTTGATAAGACACATATCAATGAAGAAGAGTGCACAAATCGATCATTTGTGTTATGCTTCAAGCGAGAACATATATTCTATGACATTAAGCAATAGACGGGATCAGTTGGTCTTACATTCTTAACTGCACTGATTTCATTTTTGAAGTCGCTCAACTGATTCAAGCATCTCTAGTTTGAAAGTAAAATATTAACATATAAGGTGAGGAAACAAGGCAGAGAATCCATAGTAACCAGCCAGCCGTTAGTATTGGTGGTTTCGTATCTTTGATGAACGGAAATAACTATTTCGCGACACAAGGAGAGCCTAACATGAATTTGCGTGAACTTATCCTGTTTATTTGTTGTCTTTAAGATCCATTCATAAGATTTGTGGAAGAAATCGCTGCATAAAAATAACTGAGGATGTATTGAGAAATAAAATTTGACAACCTAAGTATTCTTGATATTCACAATAATTAAAATGGGACTGTCTTCATAGGATTAACATTTAATTTTTAGACGTAATTTTAGATTTTAATCCTATTTT